AGCAGGTTTAAAACTGTGTTAATATCAAATTGGAAGATTGGATATCATTTGCAATCAAATCTTTTAATTATTATAGCACGGAATATATTATAAATCTAAGCCTATTAATGATTATTAAAAATAAAATATTAAAAGAGTACTAAAGTCATCTACAATTAAATTGAAATGTACAATTTTTGGTATTTGCTTTGAAAGGATTAAAGATTTTAAATAAAAGTGTATTTTAAAGTTGTCCTCATAAATTGGAGAAATGAGGTTATATACTGATCAAAATCAAAATTTTCAACTTGATGCTTGTTTTACTATTCTGTATTAAATACATTCCCTGTGCTGATTTTAATTATAACTTATTTTAGCATAACGAAACTATCTTTGATTTTAAAGGAGTTAGGCTCAAAGCTTAGCCAGAATTGGAAGAAAATCCTCTAAATTAAATGTAAAATAAAAACATTGAGTACGAATTATTGAAATTTTGAAAATATTCTTAAAATTGATGGCTATGGTAGAATGAGAAAAAAACTATTTGAAAGATCTAATTATAAGCAATTCTGATGGGTATTTGATGTATTTTTGGGAAGTTTGGAAAGATTATTTCCAATATTCATTCTATAGTAATTATCAAATTTTAGTTTAAGAAAAATTTAATGAAAATAATAGTAATATTGGAAAGAATTATTGGATGTCTATTTTCCCTCTAAATCCATCCCGAAATATGAATAAATTCCTTTTTTTGAAAAAATCTGCTTTCTCATAATTCTTTTTTCAAAGGTATTTATGTTAATTCAAAAATTCCTGGGAAGCAATGAACAAACTTATTTAATTAATAAGCTTACAAAATTCATCCTCCTGTCTTAACCTATTCTACCTATTTTTCCCTTCAGTTATTAGCATTGTATTGTGTATTATGTTATTTTATAATGTAAATTTTTTTGTAATATGATGATTTACTTATATATATTTATAAAAGAATCAAGGAAAGTAATAGTATATTTGATTTCATAATTACAATTCTATTTTAATTACAAGCAAATAAATCTTTAAAAAATTTTGAAATTAATATATAAAAGTAATAGAAATTCAATATTAAAAATAAAGAGAATGTAACCTGAGGTAGGGAAATAAAGAATGGCTTTTAAATCAATGCTTTCTCAAATGCAAACAATGACGAAGATATTATGGGAGAACGTTACAGAAACTATCAATTAATTATATGATTGGATTGAAAATGAAGATGCCGAAAAAATTTATCAGTGATGGAGATGGAGAAAACATAAAATTGGTTAGATTTAGAAATCAAGTCATATATCTAAAAGATAAATGAAGAAATAAATAAGCTTAAGTCATTTATTAAGTAAAAAGTTCAATCTTAATATAGGCTTCAACCTAATGAGGAAGAAAGTGATTTATATTAAAGAAAAGAAGATCTTTATGAAATTTTCGCCTAAATTCAAGATATTGATGAATCAATATTCAAAGGGATTCTTGAAATACTTAAAAAAGAGAAAATCAAAGACCTTCTGAGTTTTCTTTCTAAAACAGGCAAGAAAAAGTTTCAAGAATATTTTGTTAATAGATAAGAACAAATAAGTGATGCGAAAAAAAAAATTATAAAAATCACTGTTGTTTTGAGGAATATATAGGATCATAATTTCAG